CACAAATATATATATATATATATATATCTACTGTAGAGCTTTAAAAGTTGGCTTCTTGTTGAGACCGTCAGAGACAGTCCCATCCTTGTGAGTAGTAACACCCATGGGTCGTGTCCTCAGCATCCACCCGGGGTGAGGAAACCTCTTCAGCAACCTGTCCCGGAGCCACGGCCCCCCTCGGGACCGGCCCTCACGCACACGCACACCCACACCCCACACCCCCCGCGTGACATACGCCTCTGCTACAGTTCCCTTCTCCTCACCTCCACCCCAAAAAACTAGAACGGGAACCAAAACAACGAAACGAAAACAAAACCAAAAAACGACAACGAAAAGAAAACAAAATCACAGCTGGACCCTGTCCTACACGAGGTGTTAGAAAACAGGAGCCACGACAACACATTCATTTCCACTAAGGGTGTGTGAAGCAGATACTGCCCCTTCTGTAGCTCTCCATAAACCTAGTCACTGACAAAACACTTGTGGAAAAACATATGCACCAGTCTCCTGCATAATACCAGCTGCAACTATAACAACAAGGTTATAACATAAACCTAAAATAAGATGATAACATGTAAATACTGGGTTATTTAGTCTACAGTACAGTAATCTGGATAAAAATGACAAGGGATAGCCTAATTTCCTTTCCCCAAACCACTGTTACTTTCCTACGTTGGATCGACCTTCGATGCAAATCTTAACCTCCTGAGGAATAAAAGAAGGCTTGGGAAGAGTCAAAGGTGGCTCCTCTTCTGATTTCTCTAGTTTTCGTGTTTCGGGGGCTGACCACCTCCTCTTCCTCGTTGCTGGGGGCTTGCTGGGTTCTGTTTTGGTGAGCAAAGGTGCTGCAGGCAATCCTATTTTGTCCGGAAACTTCAGTTCACCGTTCTCAGCTAACATCTGTGCGCTTCCCTGATTAATCCCGTTCTCCTGCTCCGCATACCTGTGTCTACTTCCAGCTAGACTGTCATTCTTTGAATGCTTCAGCAAGATGCTAGCTGAGTCCATGGGCTGGCCCTTTTTAATAGAGCCATTCTTCAGGTTCTTGAGCGTGAGCGATATGCAGACGTCCCCCACCGAGAGTTTGGAGCATGGCAAATCAAAGAGCTGGCTGGTTCTCTCGGGGCAGCAGGATGACCAGCCTTGTCCAAATACAAAAAAAGGGTATTCTACCAAGACTTCCACGCTGACCTGCAGAAAGAGAGGGGACAACAGAGAGAGAGACAGAGAGAGAGGGGAGAGCGTGAGATCACCCGTGTGCCCACGTGCACGGCGGGCGGCATCAAGCTGAGAATTGCAAGGGGGTCTCTCAGTGTCTGCAAGGTCAGGAACAGTGGCCACCAGCCTTCACCCAGTCCTCACCAGCCTTCACACCAGTCCTTGTCACACGGGTGGTATGGTTTCTCTGAGCTCGGCGTTTCTCAGCGGGCATCAAGCTTTACCTTCACCCCAGAGAGGCCTAAGAGGCAAACCAGCTCTGGCACCTGACACACTCCATTCCCCACCACCCCCTTGGGGTACCCAGAACTTGTCACTCACATCTCAAGACACCTTCCAACCAGAGGATGACTTGAGGGAAGCTCTCGGTTCTGACACACGATGCCCTAAATGACCACGGGGACATGTCCTCACCTCTGCCTGAACAAGCCCATACTCACCGGTGTGGAACGGCCGCAGACACGCTGACTTCCAGGGAAGGCCACGGCTACGTGCAGAGTTGTGCAAGTAAGAGCAGTGAGGTGAACCTGCCCCCCACAGTCCTGTCACCAGCCCAGCTTCTCCACCTCCCAAACCCGCTCCCCCACCCTGCAGCCGAGTTCACCTCCCCCACTGCCTCAGGGAGAACATCCCTCCTCTTCTCCTCCAGTCCTGCACTGGGCCTTTAAGATTCATAACCAGATGTGTTCTTATCTTACAGGGAGCTGCCACAGGCAGCAGAACAGACCAGCAACGGGTGCCCACTGCTCCTAGACCTTGCAAATGCTGAGCCCTGAGGTCCCAACACAATGAGCACCTAAATACTCCTTTACCTCTGCACGTGGCAGCAGCCCAGCGCTCGCTGCACGGCGCTGCATCTGCAGGCTCAGGTGATTCACAGCCCACAGGGCCACAACGAGGCCACCACAACGAGGGCAGGAAATCCTGACTAATGCTTTTTGAAAGTTTGGCACGTGTTTTTAACTTGCTGTATGCATCACCAATAAGGTCTGCAGTTCTAAGAGGGTGGCTCATGCTGAAGACAGATATCCACAGCTCTGCTCCCAAGGTGCCCCTGTCCTCAGGAGCTCTTCTCAGGTGTGGGGAGCAGGATCCTGCTTTGATGGTGTAAACCCTACTTGGTAGGGGCTAAGGGCAGGAGAACATCTGTATAGATGTGTTCATCTCACTTCTGAGCCGTTCAGCAGAGGACAGCCTTCTTTCTCCAGGAATACTGACTCACTTGAGAGGAACACCACAGCAGGTTTGGGAAACCCCCTCTCACCCTTTGGAGCAGGCAACGCTGTCATACCCAGCATGGCTTTGTAACATTACAGATACATTTCAATATTAAGGAATAGAAGTGGTTTTAGGTACACACTGCACTCCTGTGTTCTGACACTTTTGTTCATAATAGTAAGCATGAACCTTGGGATGAAGTTGCATGGTATGCCTCACAGGAGAGGCTGGACTCAATGACAGTATGGCACCCAGCAGTCCTGCTGCTTCCCTGCTAGGACTGCATACCCTCAGAAGTGTCCTCCCTGCAAGCGGGGCCTGAGGTAGCTCCCCTCTCACCCCACCAGCTCCACATCCCTTCTGGGCAGAAAGACTTGACCAGGGATGTCCCACAGCTCAGCGACAGAGGCTCCAGAACCAGGAAAACAAAGATCCCCATTGGATGTTGATTGTGCCTCTGACTGGTTAAGCCCATGCCATGTACTAGCAGTCAACTGCAGTTTGAGACAGTGATTCTGCTGGAAAAAATCTTACCAAGTCTATAAATATATACCACATACTTCTGCATCTAGGCCAACGGCTAACACCGCACGTGGTATCTACACCTGCCCAACACAGTAAGCCACTGTAAAAGGTCTTTCAAAAGGAGAAGTTTAGAGGCACAAGATACCCGCCACTGCATCAATTTGTGTCAATATATTAAGTCTATTCAGAATAGTCTACAGATTTCTGCCAGCAGTCAACTACATATACACATGGCAACAGCGGGAAGAGACCCGACCCTAGGCCTGGTTTGTGCTCTTGAGCTATGGAGAAAGTGGGGTGAGGTAAACTGAAATGGTCCTGACCATGTGACCCTCCATGTTATTGGATAGAAACACTCCAGAGGCAGGATTTGCAGAAATATTTGCCCAGAGTTTGGGATCCTAGCTCCACAAATACATGCCCCTCAGTAAGGGGTCTGCCTGGGAGAAGTGGTGATTATCCAGTATCTCCCATGGCCTTAAATGGGAACTGCTGTCTACACAGCTGCAGGCTTCTCTCCAGTCATGGATCATGTGGTGGACACAGCTTTCTCCTTTCTCCTTGTCCAAAGCTGTTTGTGTCTGTGGGCATCATGCACACTTGTGTGTATCATCCCCACCAACACACAGGTTCCTTTGATGTGAGCACCCCTCCACCACAAGTTAAGACTTTTTTCATTTCAATGTGGCATTCAAAACACTTGCCTGAACTGTCAACCACTGAAACAAACCCCAGAATTGGTGGTGATTATGAATAACACAGATGGTAAAATGCAGAAACTTCCATGATCTGGTCACAGTGTGCATGTACCACTATTGATTTGAAATGGGTTCTTATCAAGCTCTCTCTTAGCTCACTGCTTCTGGATCCAGATAGCTCAGGATCTAAGGTAACCATTCTCTACAAGCTATTACAATAGTTGTCAAAGACCTTTAAGTATGAGAGTTCATTAAAAAACATCCCTGCATGTTTTTTTTCTAACTACTGCATCAAAACACACACACAAAAATAATCTGAAAAGCTGTCTCCCTCAATATCCTGCCACGATTATTGTAGGAGGGAAAGAAATCTGGAGCTTGTTTTCCAACTACTAAGATAATAGAGCAAGAAATAAAAATGTTGGTCCCTCTTCAAGCACACCAAGGCTCTACTGCAACCTGCATTTATATTTCTATTTTTTAAGACAAGACTAGTGAAAACACCCCAAACTCTTCAGTGCAGCCGCTGAATACCTGCCATTTTCTATAACCCTTGATGATTTTATTTCTCAGCCAAACTCAGCAGGTAAGGCAGGCAATTCAGACTGCTCTCCACAGCCACGTGATCCCACCACTTCTCAAGAGAAGTCACCTCTGTCTACCAGACCAGTGGCTGCCAGATTTATCACATGAGCTCTCATCTGCTGCACTCCCAGAATTCAGTAACACGCATCTGAAGAGAGACCACAGTGGCCCCATCCCTCAGAGGAACGAGGACTCACTGCCCCATGACCAGGGGACACGGAGATCATGTGAGGGGAAGGCTGGGAGAGACCTCCCTCTGCAGCAGCAAACGAGTCAACGTCGCCCTGTCTCTGTCACGGTGCCAAAGATAATGAAAAGGAGAGTGTGGAGTAAGAGAAAAAGTAACTGGCTTGTGTGTGTGCAGAGGTACAAGGGGAAAACCACACTAGATGATGGTCTACAAAAATATGTACTAAACTAAACTAGGTAGAGCTATTAACTAGATGCTCTAACAGGATTTTGCCATCTCTAGACTCTGGTTTTGTTTTTTTTTTTTAAAGGGAAATTAAGAACTGTAAGTTCATCTTTTCTTTTTAAGCTACACTTTCGGAATTATTAGGAATGGAAACGCAGGGATGAAAGGAAGCATTCCAGAGAACTCATTTTGCATCTCCTCTGTGTTTTAACCTTAACATCAACAGAGGCTTCTGCTTGTTCCTGGCAGCAAAATAAAGGGTAGGTAACAATGATGAAAGTGTTGTTACAAGAACAGCATGTGGAATTGCAGAGAGATGGAGATCTGTAGGTCTTTTCTTTTAGGCAACTTGAGTGCAGAGGAATAGCAGCTGGATTTTGGGTTCTGGCCCAGATGACACTTCCTTGACTTCCTCCTAATCCAGAGCAGGGATGCCATGGAAAGGAAACCTCGCACCCCTCCAGGGCTCAGAACAGTTATTTCACTGAACAGGCACGTAGCTTTAGGTGGTTTAACTTTCCTGGAAAAGAGTTGGATTTGCCAGGTGAGTGGAGGACAGGGAAAGGAGGGAGGATGACCTCTTTCTGCCTAGGCACTGTGCTGGGCAAAGGCAGCTGTGGGCTTGCAGTGGCACCACACGGGAGCAGCTGCCTGGTGCCTCCCTGTTTACACTGCAGTTCTGTATCCTCAGCTAAAAAGAATCTCCTACCCCTGCCCTGCAAGCAGGGAGGAAATCAGCTAATATTTGCACTGGAAACACAAATTCATTGATATTAGAATGACTTCCCAGAGATCCCTGGGCAGAGCACGTAAGTGAGCCAAAGCTGATGATAACAACACTGGTTTTGCACGGCACTCACTCCTTACAACTTACACTCCCTTGGTAATGCCATTTGCAAGGCTCCCCGCTTCCAGAAGCACGCATGCAACTCCAATTTAATTGTAATAAAACAGCTCAGGAAGCTGTGCTACACACGCAGCTACGTCCCTGCTGCACTCCAGAGTGAAGAAACATTTAAGTGCAGCAGCACCACAGCACCACTGCTCAAAGCAGCACGGCTACACGCCGTCCTTTCAGCGAGGAGACTAAGCCATTTCACACAGGCAATTTTCTAACGAGTAATGACTGCCTGCTAATGAGGCTAAATGCTCTCCAACAGCCACGCCGGGCTGAGGGTGAGGTCACGGAGACTTCAGGCACGTAGAACTGATCTCCAGCTCCCTCCCTCTCTCAGCCCAGGCGAGGGAAAACCAGCAGAGCCGTCCCTGCTATGCAGGGACACAGCTGATCTGGGAAGAGACCCAAGTCCTGGAATCTGCAGGAAACCTAAATTAAACCCTTGTTTCTAATCATATCTCTACGTGACTCGCCCTCCATTCTGGAAGCATCCCCGGTGGGAAACACAGCTGGGGAATATTTCGGCTGGGATGATGTCAGCCCGCTCCTGATAGGCTTCTCCGTAAGGTGACACTGTGCTGGGTGAGACTCAGCGTGGCCCTGGATTTTTCCAGCCTCAGGCTCTGGCTCGGTTTCTGCCAGAGGATGGCACTCCACCCCCTGCCACGGCGAGTCCCCACGCCTCGCCTGCACGGACAGCTCTGCCACCCAGGCGCCACCCGAAATGCGACCTGCTGCTCTGGAGCTCGCCTCTGCTGCTGCAGGGACCGGCGGCCCGGCTGCAGGGAGAGAAACGAGAGCGAGAGGAAAACTGCAGAGGGGAGACTGCTGCTTTGGAAATCTCCTTATCCAAGGCACCAGGGCAAATTATAGCAGCTGGTCCCGATCCAAGGATGGTTCCTCTAATCACAAGGCCCAAGATGCACCAAAATACAGTTGAGCGGTGGGGAAGAAAATCAGATCTTTATCCTGAAAGCACCAGAGGCCCGACTTTCATAAGCTGTGCAGATACACGCACAGACACAAAGAAAACCACAGAGGGAATCTGCACATTTGACAGGAGAAAGGGGACGTGTCATATGCAGCCATTTACTACGTGTGAGCAGCTGGGGAAGGACGGGCCACACACTGCTGGGACTCCAAGAAATCTTTCACATAACTGTTCCTTGGTACCATTGCTATTTCTCTTTTCCAAACTGACAGCTTGAGATGCTTTACTACGTGTGTCCACATCCAGCTCCTCTCTCCTTTTCTCTCATTCTGGTTCTCCAGCACTGAGGGTGCAGCATCAGGGTTACAGATGCTGCAGTTCACAGCCCTCAAACCAACCCAAAAAGATTTGCAATAAGATTAAGAAGCTAAAGGTGTGTCTGAACTGCTCCAGCCTCGATGCAACAGGGTCTAAATCACTCAGAAAATGGACAGTATCAGGAAAGCACTTTATGATCAGTATGGACTCATCCTCAACCTAAAAACACCATTGGAGAGTTACAGGTTTTCTTCCTACATTGCGAACCAACAAACGACGAAGGTCAGAAGCACAGCCTGGCCAGCCACCTAGGCAGCTTTTCTTTCCAAATTCCCCCTGAACAGCCAACTTATGTGAGCTGTGCAGTGTTTAAATCACTCACAACCAAAGGCTCAGGAGAACTCTGTAGTGCATGTCGATAACTTACGTGTGCCATAGAGGCATTCCCGGGCAGCTCCAAGTTTTCAAGCCATGGAAATTCACTGCCTTGTACCCTACCAATCTCTCAAGGGTAGGATCTGAGCTGAATCTAACCTGAGCTTTCTCGTGCAAAAGGCCAAAATCACCTATCAAAATGCAAAGTATATTTTCTCATTCTGCTTACAGCATTTTATATTTTAACAAAACCCCACAAAGATCATGTAACTCCTCCTGAGAGATTTCCAGCTCTAAGAAAGACCCAGCGACTCCATTCATCATCGCTGTGACCCTGATGGCTCCCTCAGCACTGTGAGAAGGATGAGTTTTGTACCAGAGTTTGCCTCACGGATGGATGTGAGTGATGAAGCACCAACCCCACAGGGATCCGAAGGAGCTGCGACGTGCTGAGGGAAGGTGTAGGCAGGGGGCCGCAGAGTGCAGCCCAGTCCAACCCCCCCACCCCACGACGTGGCGTCATTACCTGCGCTCGATGCTCCCCGACCGCAAACTGTATGACGGCAATGCCCGGGCTATGGCTGTCTTCGATCCGCTCCACGGTGCTGGAGTCGATCTTCAGGTCGTTGCTGATCTCCGCGCTCTGGATGAAGTCTTCCGTTTTCAAGTCCTCTACTTTCTTCAGCTCCCCGTTGGCCAGCTGGATGATGGACCCCTTCATGAAGTAGGGGGGCAGGGTGGGGGGCGCAGCAGCGGGGGAAGCGATGGACTGCACCACGGGCAGGTGGATCTGCGCCTGCACCATGGTGGCCTGGTAGGCGGGCTGGGTGGTGAGGGGCTCCGCGCTGAAGTTCTCGCTCTTGGGGACGGCGGTGGTGACGAACGTGTGAGGCACTGCTGCGAACTGAGGAGACGA